ATTCTTAAAACAAGAATTTGCAAAGATTTTTTTTTTTTTTTTTTTTTTTTTACAGGAAATTACTTTTTATTTGAACTGATGATCAAGTCTTAAAGTAACTCCAGTTCAACCAATATGTAATTAGGTTTTGTGTAGGTACACAGAAAACACGATACCTAAGGTTTAAAACGAATTTTTAAAAATGAAAAAGATTTCTTGAAGCTTTTGTTTTAGTTTTAATTTCAAGCTAATATATTAAATTTAATATTTCCAATAAACAGAATATTTAGTTGCATTAATTTGAATTAACTAGAAGGAGAATTTTTTTTTTTGAAAAATCGCTAATGCTGTATCAGCACAATATAATGATTTAAAGTTTTAGTTTAAAACTAATTTCAATTGACTGGAAGTAGTTTTTGTTAAAATGGCTGATTAGCACCCCACCTTTTTTTTTTTTAGTTGACTTTCATTACAATGTAATTTGCTTTATTAAAAAATCTTCCAAAATAAAATATACTTTTCTGAAACATTATTTGAGGAATATTAGAGGATTTAAAATATTGGTTAAGCTGATTAGAAACAAATGTTATTTAAGTTTAAAACACAGAAATTCATTTTTTAACATTGATAGCTGTTTATTTAAGCCTTTTGGGTGTTGATAGCTTAATGACAGATTGATGTTTATCTAGTGTTGTTCTGGAGGGGGGGCCTTTATCAGTAAAAAAAAAAAATTTAACAATATAACACAAGTGCCTTTTATATATAATTTTTAAGTACATAGTAATCTTAGAAATTTAGCAAAATATTCTCTTTAATATAATGTTTTATTGAATTTTAGATATTTTGGCTTTAATTTACTCTAGTTATCACTCTTTTCTGATAATGTGTATGAACACCTGTATCCACAAAAATTGGCATGTTTATACATATCCAAACATATTCAAAATTTTAAAAAAAATATTTGTTTGATGGTTTGTATTAAGCTTTTCCATTTATGATTAGTAAATATAGATTTTACTTAATAATGTCATCTAAAAGGGTGAAATTAATACAGAATTTTAAATGATTAAAAAAAAAAAGAAAAACAATTAAAACAATTCTTGTAAAAATACATTATTCATTGAAAAAACAAAATTGTTTTCTTTTCAATAATGTCCTTTATATATCTTATTTATAAAAGCAATTAAAAGCATTTCTAATGAAAAAATTAGATTTTTTTATTGCGTTTTTATTTTACTAATGATGAAAGACAATAGAGTGAAGGAAACAGAGAAAAATGTTATTGAGGAGAAAATACAATAAAAAATCCAGGATTCAAGGAGACATATGATGTTGAATTTAAATTTTTGTAGTTGACAAGAAATCAAGATGATGGAAGAGAATTCCATAGATGATAAATGTAAAAGAAATTATTAACATAGAAGTTATGTTTACATTTAGCAATTTCAAAAGTAGACTAATGAGACCTAGCTGCCAATCTAGTACTATGCCTAAATTCATGAAGTTGAGGTAAAAAATAGGAAAGCTCATCAGAACAATTGTCATGAAAAGACTTTTACAAAAAAAAAACAGAAAAAAGAAAGAAAGATGTAAGTTCCATTAAAACGGTGGGAAAGTGACTGAAGATGAGATGTCATGTCAAGATTGATAATATAGCAGATTCTTCTTTAGATTTTGTCCAGAATCTCAAGACACACAGTGGAAGCACCTGATCTGATGTGGTAGCAATATTCTATGCACAGACAAATAGTTGACTTATAAAGGTGCAATACAGAGCAGGGGAAAAAAAAAATTACCAACACAACACAAAATGAATCAAATTTCCTAGCAGCAGACCTAGCACCTGAACCTTGTATAATGTTAAAATGGATTATAATTCTTGTATAATGTTCTTGTATAATGTTATGATGGGTAATAATACTTGTATAATGTTATCCTTGTAAAGACTGAACAAGAAATGAAATTTCTCATAGATAAAATTACTGTTTATTCACTTCTGGACTTTAACAATTAATATTGGCATGAGGGTGTGTGGTTGTGGAGGCTTTCCTTGAATGTGGATTATCTTTTTACAAGAATACGAGGGACTGGCTTTTTTTTCTCTAATATATATCTTCCTGTCATCCAGTTCTCCCACATGTGCACATCCAATGTGCAGCTGGGTCAACCACCTGTTCCCATGTCAAGGGCAGCCACTGATATCCTGTGAGATGCAAATCTATACCTTCCAGGCTAATCTGCTGATACACTTGGCTCATTTGATTTGACTGAGTGCAAAGTCTACTTTGGTATCTCTTATGGTGACCCTATTGTGTATGAGGCTCACCACAGATCAGCTTCTCTTAAAACAAATCTTCCTTATTGACATTAAATTCAATTCAGACCATCTGGTATCTCCTGGTGTGAATCACATATTACACATGTAACAAATTTGATAGATTTTTATCACTTTGCTTATTAGGCTTACATATTTACATTAAGCACACTAAATTTAAGCTATGTTAGAATGTGCTAGCCATTTTAAGTGAACATTTACTATGTTGCCATTGAAGAGAGGTAATCATGTGAGCTTGCTTACAAAATAAACAAAAATGGTAGTCACTCAAGTTGAGAGAATCCAAACTGAACTCTTGACACCTTTAAGTTTTTTTTGTTTTTTTTTAACCCTTTCACCACTGTTTTAACATAGCATTGTTGCCTGGCTGTGCTGACCTATTTGGGAAAAAATAGGAAATTGCCATTTAATGGAAATAGATGACTATAAAGACACTGATGACAATTTCTTATGGGCCCTGACATTTTAGTTTTGATTGGATACTCTGCAGTACAGAAAAACTAAATGATCAATCAATAGACACTCAAAGAAGGCCAGGAAGCATAATGGCCAAAATGTTTTGATACTAACAACAAAGATGAGGAGAGGATAGTGTAATGAGGAGAAGCAGTGTAACCTTTTAACTTTTTTTTTTTTAACATTGCAACTGTAAAAGGAAATTTAATGGTTATACTGTGTTAACTATAGAAAAATAAATCTATTTTTCTTATTTTCTTTTAGAATAAGGCAAGAATAGATTTCTTACATCATCTAGTTAAGGACCAAATGTCAAGAATTCCCAAAGAATTCTCATCTACCAAGTAAGAAACTTCAAATCCACCAATGTCTTCTGGTAGTAATGATGATGAATAGGAGACATACTTGTCAGCTCAGGAGACAAGCTCACACCTGACAAAGTGTTAACAGAACAATACTCTTATAGCATGCACCAATAGCATTTACCCAAATATACAGTAATTCTCAACAGGCTAACAGGAGTGAGGTGTGAACCAAAGTGATGAATATCTCCTGATACATAGAGCAGCATATGTTTATGGGATGAATTCTCTTCTCTTTACCAAAGGTAACATGGCCAGAACAGTTAACTATGTTTAATAGAACAAATCTTTTCAAAGAGAAATTGCATATCATCTTTACAAAATATAATGTATTATTTATGTATGAAACTATTATTTATGCTATTTACAATGTTCAGACTGTTGTCCTCATCTTTGTTGTCATATTCAAGATATTTTGCTAGTTATATGCTCTGGCCTCCTTCAGGTGATTGGAATTTCAAACTGAACCTTTTATTTCATCCACTGGGTTAGATTGTTCTAGTTCCAATCACCTGAAGAAAGCTGGAGCATACAACGGCGAAAATATTGTGAATATGACAAAGGTGAGGACAACAGTTTAACCATTATAGTGTAAATAATTACAATACCTCATCTCAGAAATATAGACAGACATAAAACTATTAGTCGTATGAGAATAAGAAAAAAATACAAAGTTAAAATTTTCATTATTATTAAAAGCTGTTTCATAATTTTTTTTTCAGCTGGATATTTTGCTTTGAAATAAATGTACACATTACTCATGGTGGAAATTAACACTATTGGGAATTGTGTATGTGATCATCTTAAATTTTCCTGATGTTTTTTATGCCAATTGTGCATGCTAAACAAACAAGTATTTGCCTCTTTGTGATTGCTGACTCATTGGTGAAGAAATGGCTTCTGTACGTCACATTTGGACTCGTACAAACAGGTCAGGAAAGCTTCCCCCACTCCCTGGCAAGATGGATTTGGTAAGTGATTTGGGAAATTCCCCTACCCTCAAATCCTATCAAGAATCGTGGAGCCAACATGAAGGATTGTGTCAAGCATGTCTTCTTGGACTCGCCCCTAAAACAGTAGCTTTCTTAACAACATTCTGGCTGTTGTGGGATCACAGGCAGGAGGAATTAAAATGCAAACAACTAAACAACCTTTTGTTTATTTCAAATTAGGTTAGATTTCATGAAGACTATTGCCGGCAAATTAATTAAAAAATTTTCAAAGAATATTCATTTGCTATTGCTTGTAAAAATAAAAGTCCATTTTATTATGAGATGTCATTTAAGGTTTATATCTGAAAGGTAACTGATGCATTTAGGATAAATTAGAATCAAATCATTAGAATTCTTCACAGCATTTTAGTGAACTTTTGGAAGAACACTGAATCTGAAGTCAACAGAATAAAATTGACTCATCACACAACTAGATTGGCAGCTAGGTCTCATTATTTTACAGTTGAAACTGCTAGACATAACTGGAAGTTACATGCTAACCATTTCTTTTCTTGCATTTCACACTTTTGGAATTCTCTTTTGGCTTCTTACTTCAGTCAACTTTGATCTTCAAAAATTTAAATGCACTGTTAACTGTTATCTTCTGTCTTCTTAATTCCTGATCTTTTATTGTTCTATCTTCTATAATGGTTTCTTTTTCTCATATTTTCTCACACTCAGTAACCCCTTCCATTTTAGTGGCATATTGCCTTGCTTGGGACAAAATGATTAAAATGAAAGGAAAAAAAAAAAAAAAAAAAAAATCTCCACATTCCATTTTAGTTTATTCTTTATAATTTTATCCAAAAATATGTAAATCAATAAAACTTGCCTGATTAATAATTTTTTAAAATCTATTAATAACAAGGCATACAATCATCTCATGCTGAAACACCAGTTCCTGTATGATCACATAAGTTAAGCAATGTCGATCTAGGTTAGTACCTAGATGGGTGACTGCTTGTGAATACCAGGTGCTGTAAGCTTGGATATACAGGTGGTGTAATGGATAATGGCTCAGAATTGTTAATGAGAGAGTAGAGTTCCAATCCCAGTTGTGTTTGTTATATTGACTTACGCACAAATACCCTTTGGAAAAGTATGAAATCACCTCTTCTCCCCCAGCTATGGTCTAATTAGTAAGACTTGTATTACAACACCATTATTATCTCCATCTCCGAAAAACAAAAAAAAAAAAAAACAAAAAAAAAATGCTGACTACTGTACAGAGTGAAGATTATTTAAAAAAAAAAATAAAATAAAAAATCATCACTGATTTCTTCAGTTTCCTGTCCTCATCTTAATTGCTATTGTCAAAATGTTTCAGATTTTGTAACCTCAGTCTTCTTCAGGTGTCTATCCTAGTTGGTAACCTGCTGGTGATTTCAAACCAAACTTTCAATCTACAGGGACAGATTATTCTCATTTTGTTCTTCATATTAACAAATATCTTGTATCGGTCAATCCTTTTGAGTTGATTCATTTTCACAGTGTTACTTGTCTTTTACACTGAACCAGGGTAAACAACACCATTGCACTACCGAGCCAAAGGATATAACTCACAACAACCAGGCAACACAAACAACTTACCCATTGAATTTTATCACAAGACCATAAAACCTAAAGCTCACCAAATGATTAAGAAATAGGAAAATGTCATTAGAAACAAAGAAAAAAATGCTGAACTGCTATGTAATATCAGTCCTTTTATATGACAGTTAATGATGGATTATTTCCTCACAAATGAAGAAGAGATTTTAGGCAATAGACATCTGGTTCTAGAGAAGGATGCTGAAAATACTATCGACAGAACATGCAAGAAACAAGAAAGTTTTAAAGAAAATAGGAACAAAAAGGACTCTTTTACTTAAAGACAGTTGAAATTTCTAGGACAAATAAGGAGGAAAGAAAGCTTTTCAAATTTGACACTGGATATATTGAGAGACAGTGAGAAACAGTGAATACCTCCCTGGTGAGCTTATATTAATAAATGGTAAAAATGTAAACAGTACTAAAAAACTACAATGAATAGGAAGTTGTGGAGAGCCATGATCATGAACATCCTGAATAAACCTAGCACATAAAAAGCACAATCTGCGCTGGAATTTTTAAGTATAAGGCTTAATGTTCTTTCTTCTTTCAAGTATATTTTAAGTTTTAAAAATAGGAAATTGTAGAGTGCCATTATCACACACACATGCTGAAGAGACATGGTGCTTCAAAGTAGTGTATGTATGTGTGCATATATATATATATATATATATATATATACATACACACGTGTGTGTGTGTGCATGTATGTATAAATTTTTGGGTATTAGGCTTAATATTCTTTTTTATGTAAAGTCTTAAACTGTTCTTCATCGAAATAAGCATGAAATAAAAACTGGAATTAGTCCGTTAAGACTGCATACAAACAGCAGAATCTTCCCAAATTTCATTGTTGTTACAGTTTAGGAAAAGGCAACAATGTAGCAATTTAAGACAAAGAATATCATTTTATTTTATTTTTTAATAGAATGAACAAACAAGCCAATGTTGATGGAATCAAATTCAAGTTAGAATATGAAATGGAGACTATTTTCTGGGATTTACATAAAAAATATTGTTTTCTTTATAAGGAAAAAAAATAGAAATCCTTGATCTCTAATGTGTGTGCGAGTGTTAGTAAGAGTGAACGAAATAAGATGTAAGTAGAAAGGAAGAAAAAAAATGTGTCAGAGAAGAAAAAGAAATACAAAAAAAAAAAAAAAAAATGAACAGAAAAAAATAGAATGGAAGTTAAGAGAAAATATAGAAGGGAGAAATTAAATTAAAATGAAGAAAAGGAAAGCAAAAAAGAAGTCCCCCCCCAAAAAAAAAGTATTAAGGGAGAGAGAAAAAAACATTAAAAACAAGAGATAGAGATAAAAGTTAAAAAGAAGAAAAAAAAAAAGAGAGTGGATCAAGAGATGAAAGAAAAAGGGAAAATGTAACAGAGAGAGAGAGAACATCAAGAAAATCATTGATTATCAATGATCAAAAAGTGAAAGACAGCAAAATTCAATTTTGATGATATACAGGGTGCAGCAGAAATACCTCCCACACAATGGTAAAACATTCATGGCAATGGCATCTTCATCTAGCTACTTATGTCTTACCATTATGTGGGAGGTATTTCTGCTATAAAAGAATTCTATCTATTAATTTGGATGGTAGATTACTAAACTGGGGAATACAAAGCTTGGTAAATAAATTAACAATTCACCTTCTGGGAAAACCTTTCACTTCAGAAGGAAACTTTTTCAGTTTGGCATTGAGGAAACTGAACCATGTTTGGAGGCTGGGGTGGGGGGCAACTGATTACAAACTAAGTTGCAATAGATTTAAGCATTTTGTTGATCAGTGTGAGCACTTGACAAGTTTATGAGTATGCCCTGTTAGTATCAAGTAATCTGCAGAGTGTAATCATATAGAAAAGAAATGAAACTCTTTAGCATCTAGCACTCTGCATCATTTATAAATATTACTTCCCCTTTTACAGTATATAGAATCTCCTCAAAATATAGTGTTTAATATATTAGTTCTATAGATTTGAAATTGGAGTAGCCTGGCTCTCAATTTTAGTCAAGATTGTTTTAGATGTTGCCATAGAAGGATAGGACTACACAATCAAGAAATTTAAATTGCATTGGCAGGACTAATATTTTTCTTGGCGAAAATAGTCACCAACAGAGTACTAATGACTAAATGATGTAGCAATGTTTAAAAAATTAGGTGTGCAGAAATTTATAGTTTAAAAATAAATTTTAAAAAAATATTCTTACGGATACTTTATTTCCTAAAATTTACTTCTGGAATAAATCCCCCCCCCAGCAAAATGTTTAAATTGAGTAACCAAGAAGTGATATACTAATGAAAGGCAAATGGCAACATCTCTTGTCTTATATTCCTTGTCTACAGGAATATTCCTTTGATAATTTTAAGAATGGATCTATATTGAAGTGATTCTGAAATGGGGGACCCTCTTTCCATACATGAGCAGTTTTCAATCTAGCCTAAAGAGCCTTCAATTATATTTCTCAAAGCCATTTCATTTATTAATAAATTAAAAAAATTAACACTTGGATAGCTTTTAGCCAGGATTTTGAAGAATCTCTTTTACAAAATGTTTCTGATTTTTATTATCACTGAAAAATGAGGTCATTATGATATGCAGAATAAAAATAAGAACAAAGAAAAATATTATATAAAAACAACCCAAGCTAATCAAAATAAGTTTAAATAGAAAGAATATTTCTCAATTTACAAATAACAGACTCCCCGAACACCCCTGAAAAAAAAAAAAAAAAAATAAGAAAAGAAAAGAAAAGCCATTTGAAGATGTAAAGTAAATTTTTGTGTGTGTTTGTGTCTATTATTACAATGTTTTGGTTAATGCATTTCAGTTAAATTTTCTCCCTTCAGTCTTTTTTAACAAACAAATTTATAACAAACTTTTAAACAGATAAGGCAGAAATTTTCAGCAATAAAGAAGCAATGACCAAAGATTGGTTTTCATTCAGTAAGTTTCCAATTTCCCTAATAATTGTTTATAGCTATAAACAATTATTAGGGAAATTGAAATCAAGCTCCACCCTTCAGAACTTAATAGAGGACTGAATAGACTGAGACCTACATTCACAAAACTGATCGAAATTTTAAAGTTAACATACGAGAAAACACTTTATCAAATGTTAGCTATTTATGTGATAGGACAACATGCAATACCAGGATGTGCTACACAAAAATTCTGGCACAGAGGAGGCATGGTTACATTAACACCTAATTTTTACTATCTCCATCAAAATCTTTATTTAGGCATATATTTTTCCTTTATGAGTGTTAAGTTGATTTTGGAGGCCGGGTTTTCAGTTTCCCTGAATCTGAATTGCTTTGATGGTTCTTGGAAGTAGTGGAGTAATTTCCTGTTGTCTTCTGCATGGTTTTGAATTCAGAGTTATTTTTCCCATAGAATAGTTGCTTAGCCAAGGTTAGAGAGTTGAGTCAACCTCTACTATTATTATCTATAACTAAATGATGAAAAAAGTAGGTGCCTTCCTTATCCAAGGCTATTAGTGCAAATTGGATGCAACAGACTTGACTGGAATTTGGACTTTCTGACAATTTCATTTTCTGTGTCAATAACTTAAGCCAGTTAAATCTCTTTGAGAGAGAGAGAGAGAGTGTGAGTGAGTGAGTATATATATATATATATATATATATATATATATATATGAATTATTCATACAAAAAACAAATACAAAGGTTAATGATTTAATTGGCGAGAAATCCATCATTGTAAACAATTCAAATAATATACAAAAACCCCGAACCTGTTTATGAATGAAAAGATCCTTGTTTTTATAAATTTCTGTTGCATAAGTTCTTATTACTTTTACAAGCTTTTGTCTGATCCTACAGACATCCTCAGGTATGGAATAGATTTTGTTCTTGTTTTTACTCTCAGTAATAAGAGGATAATGAAAATATATGTATTGTAATCCGAAAAATGCTATTAGAAATGAGTTATTGTTTTTGGAGCGTGCAGTCGCAACACTGAGTTTGAATTTAAATTTTACAATTGTGCATTCTTGTACAAATATGGTGATAAGTGAATTCTTTTTTTACTGGTAAATTTTCTGTCAAAGTGGCATGAACTATATTGTTCAATAATTACAGTAATGTCGCACTTATTATCCAAAAGTTGCACTTGGATCAGTTATTTTAATTTCAATAAAGGTGCAATTAATTTACAAATTCATGAATTATTCATACAAAAAAGCAAATACAAAGGTTAATGATTTAATTGGCGAGAAATCCATCGTCGCAAACAATTCAAATAATATACAAAAACCCCGAACTTGTTTATGAATGAAAAGATCCTTGTTTTTATAAATTTCTGTTGCATAAGTTCTTATTTTTAAAAGCTTTATATATATATATATATATATATATATATATAT